GGGGTGTAGTGTTATGTATAGTGTGTAGGTGCAGGGGGTGTAGTGTTATGTATGGGGGTATAGTGTGTGTGTGTGTGTGTGTGTGTGTATATAGTGTGTAGGTGCAGGGGGTGTAGTGTTATGTATAGGGGTATAGTGTGTATGGGGTGTATATAGTGTGTTTAGGTGCAGAGGTGTAGTGTTATGTATGGGGGTATAGTGTGTAGGTGCAGGGGGTGTAGTGTTATGTATAGGGGTATAGTGTGTAGGTGCAGGGAGTGTAGTGTTATGTATAGGGGTATAGTGTGTAGGGGGTGTATATAGTGTGTTTAGGTGCGGGGGTATAGTGTGTATATAGTGTGTAGGTGCAGGGGGTGTAGTGTTATGTATAGGGGTATAGTGTGTAGGTGCAGGGAGTGTATAGTGTGTATGTGTAGTGTTATGTATAGGGGTATAGTGTGTAGGTGCAGGGGGTGTAGTGTTATGTATAGGGGTATAGTGTGTAGGTGGTGTATATAGTGTGTTTAGGTGCAGGGGGTGTAGTGTTATGTATGGGGGTATAGTGTGTAGGTGCAGGGGGTGTAGTGTTATGTATAGGGTATAGTGTGTAGGGTGTATATAGTGTGTTTAGGTGCAGGGGGTGTAGTGTTATGTATAGGGGTATAGTGTGTAGTGTGTATATAGTGTGTGTAGGTGCAGGGGGTGTAGTGTGTATATAGTGTGTGTAGGTGCAGAGGTGTAGTGTTATGTATGGGGTATAGTGTGTATATAGTGTGTGTAGGTGCAGGGGGTGTAGTGTTATGTATGGGGGTATAGTGTGTATATAGTGTGTGTAGGTGCAGAGGTGTAGTGTTATGTATGGGGGTATAGTGTGTATATAGTGTGTGTAGGTGCAGGGGGTGTAGTGTTATGTATAGGGGTATAGTGTGTAGTATAGGGGGTGTAGTGTTATGTATAGGGGTATAGTGTGTAGGTGCAGGGGGTGTAGTGTTATGTATAGGGTATAGTGTGTAGGGTGTATATAGTGTGTTTAGGTGCAGGGGGTGTAGTGTTATGTATAGGGGTATAGTGTGTAGGGGGTGTATATAAGGTGTATAGTGTGTGTAGGTGCAGTGTGTATATAGGGTGTAGTGAGTAAGTGGTGGGGTATGGTTTATGTATATATTTTGAGTGTTTCATTATTTAAATAAAATAAAAAAAAACTTACTCCCCTTTCCCTTTGTTACCTTATTACCTTTGCAGGGGGGGAGAGGGAGCACGCTGCTGATCATCCCTGGTGATCCAGTGGGCTAGTGATGTGGTCTGTACCTCCTCAGGGTACAGACCATGCCTTTCTCTCGCGAGAGCTGGAGTTTCAGAGCGTTGCCGCGGGTTACCATGGCAACGCTCTGAAAATATCAGCGATCGCGAGAGGGCTGCCCTGCGTGCAGCCTGGAGGCTGTTTGCTCCGTATCCAAACGGAACGGAGCTCTTCAGAGCCTCTCTCGCCAGCAATCTGTTGTGCTTGAGCCGGCAGGGGAGAAATTTTGATCTTCCCTGCCGGCCTCGATCCATGCGTGGCGCACGGGGATTAGGGTGTGCCCAGGCTAACCCGGCACACCCCGTGCGCACGCCTATGATCATTCCCTTCAGGATTTTTGCTGTAAACAGTCTTTTTAGAGAAAATGCAGTGTTTACATTACAGCCTAGTGATAACTCCACTGGCCACTCCTTAGATGGCTGCTTCCTGTGACAGTGCTGCAGAGTAAGCAGTACTGCCATTCAATGTCTCCACCCTCTGCATGCAGACACTGAACCTTCCTCATGGAGATGCATTGATCCAATTCATCTCTATGAGGAGATGCTGATTGGCCAGGGCTGTACTTGACTTGTGCTGACTCTACCCCTCATCTGCCTCCTTGACAGTCTGTCAATCCTATGGGAAAGTACTGTGATTGGCTCAGACCACCACTTTTGTTGATGTCAGCAGACAGGGGTAGAGCCAGCACCTACAAACTTAAATACAAGTTTGATTTGACTATATTTAGGGAGGGAAGAGGGGTAAAGGGGCTAGATCAGTGTTACCCAAACCAGTCCTCATGGACCACCAACAATCCAGGTTTTGTCAGTATATCTACTGGAATAAAACAGGGACACACATAAATCCTGGACTGTTGGTGGTCCATGAGGACTGGGTTAGTGAACGCTGTAGAGACAAGAATACATGTTTATAGTGCTCCTTTTAAATACAAAAGCTGTGATCAGCTAGCAAACACTTAGTTTATAGTCTTTATTAAACTTGTGCACAAATAATTTTCAACTGGGACAAACCAATCAAATGCCTTTTAATCTGTGCCCAAATTACTTGATCTATCCTGGATTTGTCTGTGGAGTCTAATTCATAAGAATAAGACTCCACAGAAAATCGGATGGATCGATTCATTTAACTGTAAATTAAGACACTTGATTAATTCTTCCCATCTGAAATGCATGTGTGTAAAAGTCTAATCTTTATAGTCCAAACGATCAAAATATTTCACAAAAAATCCAGCAATGGATTCAATGTACTACCTCCATTATAGTTCAAATAAAACAAATCAACTTACCTTTGCCAGGATTAGTAAGGAGCTGGGCATTCATTGAGGCCACTGGTGACTGAAAACCACATTGTGAAGCTATGGGTTGCACCTTTAAAGAGAAATATAGAAAGTAGCATATAGAACAAATTTGTATGTGAAGATCCTGCTTTACCAGTTTTGAGTGTTGTGTAATTAAAATAAATGCACTGTCCTAAATCCATGAGAAAATGTATCAATGAAATATAAGCTATACAATGGCTTTTCTTTCATACTGACCTACAAAGTATAAAATCTAATTTTAAAGTCCATTTTCATGGGCTATCAAACTCCCCCAGATTTTGTTGAACTACCATGCACTACTCTTTGCTTAGTACAAAAACAGGCAAGGCTGCGCCAATGAAATAAGTGATAATAGTTCAAAAATAAAGTCTCACTAGAACAGCAGGGTAAGAGTAGAGTGCTGGTGGGGAGTTGTCCTCAGGATAACTCCCCACCAGCACTCTAATCTTACCCTACTGTTCTTGTGACTTTATTTTTGAACTATTATCACTTATTTAATTGGCGCAGCCTTGCCTGTTTGTTATATTTTCTGTTTCCTTGAAGGGTTGGAGGGATTCCTTTCCTCAAGGTTGCTGCCTACCTACATATTGTTTGTAAATTAGCGCTTACCTACTGTTGTATCTTGTGTAACTACTCTCTGCTACTTGGCTGCTCTGATGCTCAGCAAAAAAATAAACATACAGAGCTTTATTTCAACAGTCCTAACTAATTCACAACTTTACAACATTTGAAACCACATCCTCAAATTATATTTACCAATATTCTCACTTTACAACACTTATTCAATATGCTGTATTTTGGCATGTATTATACTCTTATTTAAATATGTAGAGAAGACAAGAGATGTAAAATAAATGCCTGGATTTTTTTGGGGATTTACCTAGATTTTACAATTTGGCTGTCAATTCAAAACAATGTGTTGTGAATAAAAACCCTTGTCTACACTGTGATGTTCCTTTTGTTTGGGTGATTCACTAAACTGGCATTTGAGATTAATTGAGAAAAGATGTGCAGATGTTATGTCACATTGGAAACATAGTTTTTTGTTTTTTTTTAAATTGTATCCTTAAATTATGTAGTTATCCTAGCAGTTCTCCATGATTTTCAGTTTATGAATAATAGTTGAAAATATACTCTTCTGTTGTGATGCACTGTTTGATACATACTAAAATTAAATACATAAAAGCATTATTCAACTTCCCCTCTGGGTGGTAAACCTCTAAAACCCTTCTATGGATAGAGCTGCACCTGTCAATGTTACGATTAAATAATTGTGTAAAAATATGGCTATGTTAATATTAAATTTTAAGTGCGTACATATCCATCCAACCATGTTAGCCTAACTGTTCAGTTTTTGCTATTGCTATAAACATTTTGCTATTTACTCAGCAACAATGCTGGTTTAAAAATTGCTGAATACAAAGCAAAGGAGCCCCACAAAAAGCACAGAACCAGCAACACCAATTGCAATTTACAAGTTGATGTTAGGAGATGTAGTTTCTATGAAAAACATGAAGAAAAAATGTGTGGGGTCAGTGAGACCTCAGCATGTAACAAGAATCAAATAGTTGATAGAAAGTGTTTGGGTTTTTTTTGGTTTTTTTTTTTTTTTTTAAATGTTGATTCCCTTAGAGTCCTTTGCAGGTAAAATAGTTTCTCATTGAAATAGTATTTCACTTATTTTAGTTTGTGGCCGGTAACTACCAAAAATAAACTGAAATCCTAGACATATGACGAACTCGTTAAGTCAGGACAAATTAATGTCCGAAAATAGTAGCAAGCGGTATATATTGCTGCCATCTGTTGGTAGTTTTTAGCATGACAGATCCCTGTAATACTGTCAGATCTTACAGTCGCTCCGTTTCTGTACACTTCCAGGTATACAGAGGTCTCCGCACCTCTATGATGCGATCTTCTGATGCCTTATAGGGGAGCCGCGCCAGAATTGAAGTGCTTAGTTAATTTGTAAAGTTACTTCCGTGTTTCTTGTGCCTACTAAGCTCCTCTCGTTATTGCTTTTGTGTACAGAACCTCTGGACTGTAGAACGGATTCTGTTGCCTTCTCCTGTCCTTGATCTCGGACTGATCTACTGTTAAAGCTGCATTTCCCAATCCCAAGGGACCCAGCTTGTTAAAGGACCCTTCTCATCTAATTTAAGTTTACTACTATGCTACTTACCTAAAGATTGCAGCGCTTTCTTTTGGATTTGAACTTCCTGCTTTTGTTATCTATTGCCTGCTATTAGTGCTGCTATTCTGCATTACTCCTCAGCTGAATTCGTACTTTGATATTGCAGAAGCCTTCCATATCCTTATTGGAGATATTATTTTGCTATTTAAGTTGAATACTTTACTATTAAAGGAAAATATTCTAACCTTGCAGCTGTGTTACTGATTACTTACTCACGCATAACACATACTGAATAAGGCATTGCTGTTACACTGTGATCAGTGCTGGGCAAGTGGCAAAGCCCATCATGGATCTAAAAGCCATGACGATATGCAGCAGGGCACTGTAAAGGTATAATCAGACCATGGGTATTACTCATACACAAGATGGTCAGAGAACCACTAAACTTGCTTATTCAGCCATGGTGCTCTGTATGCAATGCTGTCTTTGAACACTTCCACACAACTAATTTGTCAATCTGAGGCTATATTCTGTCTCCTTGGTGTTGGCAAGGATTTAACCTTGTTCACACTGCATTGTAGTCTATGGGGATTTAAATCCCCATTTTAATTGTTGCCTTCTGTGCTCAATTTGAGCGATGCATGCAGATCCTCAGTCAGTCTGCAGCCACTAAAAAAGGGCTAGGCTGACAATTCATATCTGTGTCTCCCTAGTGTGAGCAAAAATTTAATTCTGTTCACAACACAATTCTTTAATGGGGAATTGGGGATTTAAATACCAATTTAAAAAACAAAACTGAGTTCAGTGCTCATTTTCAGCTCTGCATGCAGCTCATGTCAGCCCTAATTTTGGCTGCAATTGACAGAGGAGCACCAGGTATCTTATAATACAGAGTTCCCCTGTTAACAGCAGAGAAACAGTCCTTACTGGTAATTATTGCATCATTGTTCCTTAAGGTCTTATAAAATTACACTTTTTTTATTTTCTATCATTTTTGATTCGCTCATCCTTTATAACAATAGTTGAAAATGAAACGCTTTAGACAGTACACAAGGTCTGAAATGGTAGTATAACAGGAATAAGCTATTTTTTTACATACAGTAGACAAAAGATATAAATTAGGCACGTGCATAAGGAAAATTTTCGGTTCGGCATTCCGAAATTCGGGACTTCTCTTGCAGCCGCTTAATAGATAACTCCCACAGTATTAGGGAGTTACCTACCAAAAGGCTGAAAGACCTAAATTGGTCTTTCAGCCAAACTTACTGAGCGGCAGGTGGAGGCCCTAAATACTAATAAGGGGGGAACCTAATGTCCTCCCCTGGCCCCCACACCTGAGTGGTGGGTGGGGGCCCTAAATACTAATAAGGGGGACCTATTGTCCTTCCTTCATCCCCACCTCTGACCAGCTTCCTCCACCCCCAATTTTTTTTTTTCCCTACCTACCCCCCTCACATTAAAAATAATGAGGGGGGGGGCTTTAACTAAGTACCTGTAAAAAATAAAACTTACCATTTGAAGTTTTCTTCCCTTTTTTTTTTTTTTCTGCCCCAAAAAAGACCAAATAAACCATAATAACAGATGCAATTTAAAAAAACAAAACAAAAACATCTTCACCCAGCGAGGGCTCCGCGCAGACTGAGCTCTGCAGGGCGGAGCAAGGCTTCAATTAGGCTCAGAGCACTCTGATTTGGTTTAAGCCATCCAATCAGAGTGCTCTGACAGGTAAATGAAGAGACTGACAGATAAGTCTCTACATTTACCTGTCACAGCACTCTGGTTGGTTTGAGAACCACCAGAGTGCTCTGTCATTTTACACAGGGTGGGAAAGTTCTTTGGAATTTTCCCATGCTGTGTAATTTGACTCATAACACTCTGGTGGATTAAGTAACCCATCAGAGTGTTATGAGTCAAATTAGTTATTCCAATTTAGGGCCCCCACCCGCCGTTTAGGGGTGGGAGCCAGGGGGGAGGACATTAGGTTCCCCCTTCCCCCTCATTAGTATTTAGGGTCCCTACCCACCACTCAGGGGGGAGGACATTAGGTCCCCCCCAGCCGGGTGGAGGGTGCCATGGCCAGCCCCCGCCCCCCCCCTCCCCCCATGCTGCAGCCGCCCGAGCGCTCTGTAAAGAGCCTCAGGCGGCTGCAGCTTTGCCCAGGCGGTGCGTCCATGAGGGCGGACCGCACCGCCTGGGCGCAGCCTGAGGAGAGGCTGACAGGAGGGAGCGCTCCTGTCAGCTCCCTCACTGCAGCATGGTCCGACGGGTACAGAGAGCAGCTGTCTCCTGTACCCGGCCGGACTAACAGGAAGTGCACACTGAGTGTTCACTTCCTGTCAGTCCGGCCGGGTACAGGAAACAAAAGCTCCCTGTACCCGCCGGCTATACTGGGCTCGGCCACGCTACAGGGGGGGAGGGGGAGAAAGAAGGGGGGAGGGGGAGAAAGAAGGGGGGAGGGGGTGGAGAAAGAAGGGGGGAGGGGGTGAGAGATTGACATTCATCATATACACACATTCAATGCATCCCATACATACACAGAAACACACCTTGCAGTCCTTACACATACAAACACAATTTCACACAATGCATTCCTTACACACATATCAGGACATCCCCTACACACTCCACCCCCTGTGAACAAACTCATTGGTGGAACATGAAGGTGGACCCTGGGACCCAGACCTTGAGCTGTGTAAAGGACCCCCAAAAAATGGAGCTGCTTCCCGTTCTCCCAGAACATTGATTTTTGTGACCACAGTTACAAACCGCCTCCAGAGAGCCTGTTCTGCACCAGACCAGTGGAGCCAGACTGCAGCTAGAGCCCATCATCATCCTCATCTGGTTGTAAGTAGGCAATCTAGTATATTATTTGTGGCACTAATCTCTAATTTACCTCACATTAAAAGGGACACTATAGTCCCCAGAACCACTACAGCTTAATGTAGTGCTTCTGGTGTCTAGCCTGTCCCTGCAGGCCTTTTAATGTAAACACGGCGGCACTGCAGCACTGGCGTTAGTTAACATGGCAAATCATATGGCTGGGGCATTGTGATGTCACATGGGGGCAGCAAACTTTACTTTTGCCTAGGGCGGCAAAAATCCTTGTACCGGCCCTGGCTGGAGGAGGCTGTGTGAGCTGTGGCCGCACAGTGTCCCATGGTAGTTAGGGTGCCGTGCGGCCAGTACAGCTCACTCAAGCAAACAGCTGATAAACTGGCCGCACGGAGGAAATGTGTATGTGTGACTGTCTGCCTGTGACTGTGTGTGTGACTGTCTGCCTGTAAATGTGTGTGTGGGGCTGCAGGAATTTTGTAGAAGGGGGTGGGGGTTTTGTATTGGGACAGGAGTCTTTATAAGGGGGGATAAGCAGGGAATTTGTGGAAGGGGGTTGCGGGGGTTTTGTAGATGGGGCAGTACAGGATTTGTAGAAGGGCAGGACAAAGGTTTTGTAGGAGGGGCTGACAGCGGTTTTGCAAAGTTTACAAATTGTAAAAATAAAAGAAATAAAACCTTTAACATTTTTTACAGGTTTTTTTTTTTTTTTTTTTTGGGGGGGGTGCCAAGCACAGGATCCGCCCCGGGTGCCAAATGCTCTAGGTACACCCCTGGTCCCCCCTTATTTTACTGTAGGGCCCCCACCCACTACTCAGGGATGGGGGGCCAGCAGGGAGGACATTAGGTGCCCCCTTATTAGTATTTAGGGCCCCCCACCCACCGCTCGGGGGAGGGGGGGGCAATAGGCCCCCCCCCCTTTAGTTTAAAAACCCCCACTTGCGTGTCGTGGGTGGGGGTTCGGGAGGGGGGACTTTTTTTTATTTTATTTTTTTATTTTTATTTTTTTTATTTAACAGTGAGCAGCCACAGATTGGTCACTGTTTAATAGACCTGCCCCTACTCGCGTTATAGCGAGTAGGGGCATAATTTACTAATACTAAGTCATCTTTACTGCTCATTAGCAGTCCCAGTCATGCCAACTTGATTCTTCTACTACTTGTGATGTAATGAGGCTGAGAGACAAAATTAAATTGGCACATGAAGACCTGCTTCTGCTAAGTGACACAAAACTAAAGTTATATTCAGGTGAGCTGATGAGATCTCTGGGACAGTGCCAGATAGTCCTATTTGGGAACAGACACAAAGAATAGAGCTTGAGATTGTTGAAGCAATCTAAAAGCCATTGTTGTCTGGTTCAGCATTTGAATAGACTGGGGCAGATTCACATCTCCATCCATGCAGAGCTTACATTTTTTGAACCAAACACTTAGATATTCTAAATACATTATGTCTTGTGCAAGATTGGTGAGTTGTGAATATTCACTTTTGTCAACACATGTGATTTTTTTTTTTTTTTTTTGTGATGTAAGGCCTAAAGCATGGGTCGTCAACCTGGTCCCTACCGCCCACTAGTGGGCGTTTCAGGATTCCAGGTGGGCGGTAGGGATTTCCTCATTTTGAAAGATTGGGAGGGCGGCACCCCTGCGACCGGGTACCGCCATCACCATTTCCGCCAGGCCGCCGTCCAAGGGGTCCATTGGGTGCCCCATGCTGTCAGGGCCACCCGATGGATGTAGATTGTAAGGGGGCCTAGTCAGCGCTGGGCGCTTTAACAGCGCAACCGGGCCCCCTGTTATTACATTACATCACATGCTGGGATGAAGTGACTGCTCGTCACTCCTCCCAGCTAACACACAAACCACGCGGGAGGAAGCAGAGGGAGTCAGAGTGATTTCTCCACCTGAGCCACCGCTGGACCCTAGGGAAAGTCACTCTCCTGCACCTAAAAGACTGAAATGTTGCCATGTTTTTATTGAACACACCATGTAAACATTCACAGTGCAGGTGGAAAAAGTATGTGAACCCTTGGATTTAATAACTGGTTGAACCTCCTTTTGGCAGCAATAACTTCAACCAAACGTTTCCTGTAGTTGCAGATCAGACGTGCACAACGGTCAGGAGTAATTCTTGACCATTCCTCTTTACAGAACTGTTTCAGTTCAGCAATATTCTTGGGATGTCTGGTGTAAATCACTTTCTTGAGGTCATGCCACAGCATCTCAATCGGGTTGAGGTCAGGACTCTGACTGGGCCACTTCAGAAGGCGTATTTTCTTCTGTTTAAGCCATTCTGTTGTTGGTTTATTTCTATGCTTTGGGTCATTGTCCTGTTGCAACACCCATCTTCTGTTGCGCTTCAGCTGGTAGACAGATGACCTTAAGTTCTCCTGCAAAATGTCTTGATAAACTTGGGAATTCATTTTTCCTTCGATGATAGCAATCCGTCCAGGCCCTGATGCAGCAAAGCAGCCCCAAACCCTGATGCCCCACCACCATACTTCACAATTGGGATGAGGTTTTGATGTTGGTGTGCTGTGCTTTTTTTCGCCACACATAGTGTTGCGTGTTTCTTCCAAACAACTCAACTTTGGTTTCAGCTGTCCACAGAACATTTTGCCAGTACTGCTGATCCAGGTGCTCTTATGCAAACTGTAAACTTGCAGCAATGTTTTTTTTGGACAGCAGTGGCTTCCTCTGTGGTATCCTCCTATGAAATCCATTCTTGTTTAGTGTTTTACGTATTGTAGATTCGCTAACAGGGATGTTAGCATTTGCCAGTGACTTTTGTAAGTCTTTAGCTGACACTCTAGGATTCTTCTTCACCTCAGTGAGCAGTCTGTGCTGTGCTCTTGCAGTCATCTTTACAGGATGGCCACCCCTAGGGAGAGAAGCAGCAATGCTGAACTTTCTCCATTTATAGACCATTTTGTCTTACCCTTGACTGATGAACAGCAAGGCTTTTGGAGATACTTTTATAACCCTTTCCAGCTTTATGCAAGTCAACAATTCTTAATCGTAGGTCTTCTGAGAGCTCTTTTGTGCGAGGCACCATTCATATCAGGCAATGCTTCTTGTGAAAAGCAAACCCAGAACTGGTGTGTGTGGTTTTTTTTGTTTTTTTTGTTTTTGTTTTATAAAGCAGGGCAGCTGTAACCAACACCTCCAATCTCATCTCATTGATTGGACTCCAGTTGGCTGGCATGTAACTCCAATTAGCTCTTGGAGATGTCATTAGTCTAGGGGTTCACATACCTTTTCCACCTGAACTGTGAATGTTTACATGGTGTGTTCAATAAAAACATGGCAACATTTCATTATTTGTGTGTTATTAGTTTAAGCAGACTGTGATTGTCTATTGTTGTGACTTAGATGATGATCAGATCACATTTTAGGACCAATTTGTACAGAAATCCATATCATTCCAAAGGGTTCACATACTTTTTCTTGCAACTGTACATTGTTTTGAAAGTTTTTCCAATCAATTGGAAAGCTAAGGCATCTGTGAAATATATTAACGTAAGCAACACAAAGTCTTATGTGAACTCAATGTTATTGAACCAATAGCTGATGACATATGAGTACATGGATAGGCAGCTTCAGCACTCCAGATCAGGGCCACCATCAGGGGGTGACAACCATGATAGTTGTCACGGGCCCGGCCACCCGATGGGCACTATATCTTCAGGGGCCCGGTCAGCGCTATGGCCGTGTTAAAGCTCGACCGGTCCCCTTTAAAAAAAAACAAAAAAAAAAACGCAGCCGCAGAAAGTGCTGCTGGGAGGAAGTGGTCAAAAATGAGCTGTGTGTGTATGCATGTATGCACATATGTCTGTGTATGGATGTCTGTATGCTAGTATGAATGTATGTATCGCATTATGAATGTATGGATGTCGGTATGTATGTCGGTGTCTGTATGTATATATGTGTCTGTATGTCCTCATGCATGTTTGTCTGCATGTGTCTGTCACTATGTATGCCTGTGTCTGTATATGTGTGTATGTGTCAGTATGTATGCCTGTATGTGTGTCTGTTAGTATGTATCTGTGTGTGTGTGCATCTGTGTCCTTTTGTATCAGTGTGTGTGTCTGTGTGTGTATTCCTGTGGGCAGGATTTGGAGGCGGGCCCCAGGGGGCCCCGACCCTGAGCTGAGTTAGGGGCCCTAAAACTTCTGGTGGTGGCCCTGCTCCAGATACTATTCAAGGTCACAGAGGTTTGTTTCCTTGACCACATATCCTCAGAGGATTTCAAAACTGACTCAGAAAAGATCAGTTCCATATAGCTTCTTCAGCCAAGGATAAATATGACTGCCATTCTGGGGTCAAGAGGGAATTTATTTCCTAGTTGTTTTTACTTTGGAAGTGCTTCAAACTTTTTTTTTTTTGCCTTCTTTTGGATCAACAGAAAGACAAATGTGAGGAAGGCTGAACTTGATGTAGCTATATTTAATATGTCACACCTATCCAATGTAAAATCTCTGCAGTGCTTCACTTAATTTACTTGACAAATTCCTGTCTGAGCTGTGCCTTTGACAAGGATGCAGTTTGGCACTGGCTTCAAAAGCACGATAGTGCAGTGCAATAGATAAAATGCTTGGTTACTGATACACCTGTTTTGCAGTACTAATATTACAAAGCGTGTCACTAATTTAAAGTGACTAAAGCAAAAGTGACTTGGATGTTGCTTATTACAAGACGGTTAGCATGTTGCATTTGCATCTAGGGCACTTGATTAACAAAGAAAAATTATGCACAAATTGAAAAGTATAGCATTTGCTTGCCAATGCTTTCATCACTGCCTCTACAGTCCAGAAATGACAAGTGGTGGTATTTATATAGCACCAACATTTTTTTTTCAATGCTATTTTATAGAAAGGAGATATTTGACATACAGATTATTAACATGAGGTAAAGAGTGAGCTTACAGTCTATGAGGATTTGAGGTAGATGGATAAATATTGTTGTGTTTTGCTCAGGGGACACTTACTACTCTAACCCTCAAAGTGAAGTGTCGTCTCATTATTGTGGGAAGGATTTATTGTATGCTGTTCCAGTTTGACTGCTAGGAGAGTAAACCTATTCGTATGGTTCCTATTCAACTGTCTACAGCATTCATATGCTTGGGAGAATTTATTTGTTTCTCCGGTTCGGTGATTGTGGTGTCTGCCAGAGTGCTTGGAGTCCTCAGGAAGCGCTAGGAGCATCCTTCAACGGAGGTACCCAGTCGGGGTGCCAGGCGATCCGTTACATTGGTGGCAAGCGGTGGGATGGCATCCTAGTGTGAGGTAAAGCAGCTCAGAGACACCGTTTGTGGAGTTACAAATTGAGGGCAACGCTAGCACACGTGCAGCGCCCCTGGGAGCAGAGGTATCCAGCGACTTGGAGCAGACAAGCATGGAAGGCTCTGGCGATGATTGGATGGCCGAAGTGAGGCAGCAAGTGGCCCAGTATGGGGATGATGTACCCATGGAGATACGCCGTGTGATCTGGAACCAGGTTACGGCCGAGCGAAACACAAGGCTGGCCCGAGAATTCCGGCTGGCGAAAGAGAGAGACTATGCTCAGCGGAAGGAGTGTTACAGCAGCCGAGTAGAGGCTGCATCCGAGGAGGCTAGCCGTTTCCCCCTGAGGCGGCCGCAGGAACCCGAAGTAGGGGTCCTCATAGACTGGTCCTGTGAGGAACCACAACAGGCAGGTGGAGATGGGTCCGAGGTCTCTCCACCGGGCCCACCGGGATGCTGGGCAGCCGGCCCAGATCCCCAGCAGCAACCGGAGTTGCCAGGTGCGGTAGCAGGTGGTCCTTACTCGCAAATGTTGAGGGACCTCACAGACTGGTCCTGGGAAGACCCACAGATGGCAGGTGGAGATGGGATGGCGGTCTCTCTACCGGCCCTACAGGGATGCTGAGCGGTCGGCCCAGATCTCCAGCGGCAGTATGTATCACAGGGAGCTGAAGGTGCTGTCCTTCCTCCCCAGCGGCAGAGTGTGTCCTTAGGAGAGGAGACAGTTGGTCCCTCTCCCCAGCAGTCCAGTGAGTCACAGGGAGCCAAAGGTGCCATCCTTCCTCCCCAGCGGCAGTGTGTCCTGCAGAGACAGTCGGTCTTGCTTCCCAGCAGCGGGGCAATATATTGAAGTCCCCCTCTCCACCAGCAGAGAGAGTCAGGGAGGAGGAGCCTGTTACCCCTTCTCCCCAGCGGTTGAAAGTGTGTAAGGGAGAGGAGTTTGTTACCCCCTCTCCCCAGTGGCAGTCTACAGTTCAGAGAGAGGAGCTTGTTACACCCTCTCTCCAGCGGCAGCCTAACCCACCAAGGGGAGATGTTAAGCCCCACAACTATGCAGATGGGACCGTAGTCTCTGCACTTGCAGCACCAGGGGTAGGGACGGTCGGTCCTGTCCCCCAGCCACAGAGCAGTGTATCCAGAGGGGAGACAGTCGGTCTCCCCCTCCCACAACCAGGCTCCAACCAGGCTACTTCAGTGGTAGCGCTGGCACCCGGGCAGAGTACCGCTGGTCTCTGCCCACTCAGCAACCCACCAAGGCAGTCTACCAGCCCCCCGCACAGCCGTGGTGAGGCACCTGGACATGGACAAGTTGCTATTTTATCTAGGTGTAGTAACCAGTTATTGTGGGTGGGCTGTATTGATGTTTGTGCTTCGTGGGTGGGTTGCTGGACTAACCAGGGCACTGACCAGCAGGAGGTCAGATACCCTGTTAGTCTGGATGGTAAAGGGGAGAAATGTGGCGAAACCGGCCTCGCCACATGTCCTTGGTGGGGGCTGCTTGCCCGCCTCTTGCCTTTGGACTATGGACCAGACTTTATGTGAATGTGTTAACCCAGATAGCTATGCCATGGAGCCCATTCGTGTAGTTAAAGACTTCGGCTCCATGGCAATTGAACTGTGTGAATAGGATCTGAGCGCTATTCGGTAGTTTTGTGCGCTCAGATTCCTGTTCTAACCCTCAAAGTGAAGTGTCGTCTCATTATTGGGGGAAGGATTTATTGTATGCTATTCCAGTTTGACTGCTAGGAGAGTAAACCGATTCGTATGGTTCCTATTCAACTGTCTACAGCATTCATATGCTTGGGAGAATTTATTTGTTTCTCCGGTTCGGTGATTGTGGTGTCTGCCAGAGTGCTTGGAGTCCTCAGGAAGCGCTAGGAGCATCCTTCAACGGAGGTACCCAGTTGGGGTGCCAGGCAATCTGTTACAGCTACAAAAAAAAAAACCACAAAATGGCAAACACCTATGTGATGAAGTGCCCTTCGCCACTTGGTTCTGGAGAGGCCTGCTTGCCAGCCTCCTCCCCTGTGACTATGACTCTTTCATGTATTTGGCTTTAAAGCCCCTAGTCTACCTTCAGACAGACTATTTATGTAGGCTGCTTTATTTATCTTATGTTTATCTTATGTTTTAGTCACCCTGTACCCATTATAGGTGCAGGGGGTGTGTAATGTAATTGTTTATAGTGTGTGTGTGTGTACTGTGAAATGTATTGCTTGCTCTCCTGTACTGCTAAGGTTTGCTACCAACTAGGTGGGTTTGGCTATGGAGCTTGTCTAGTGCCCTCTGTTGGTAGCAACAGCAATATGCACTACCTGAATTGCAAGACTGGTTCATTTGCATATTCAGGTAGATTTGCATATTGCTAATTCTGCAGGCAGGTGAGATATTTACTGTTAAATATTGTCTCCCCCACCCCTTTAAAAATGTGCCATTGTGTTGTGATAAGTCACTGTGTGTTGCCTGCTATGGTTTGACAGTTTGTGATTTTATTGAGGTTTCACAACGATGTTATTGTGGTGACCCTATGGGATGGTCCCAAGGGAAATAAAGGTTTAGACAGTTCTTCTTGATCCCTCTAAACGTAGCCTTGTCTCGTTATTGGAGGGAGCTGGTATAATCACACTGGGGATTGCTATGTTCTGCATACTCCCCTGAGCTTGAATCACTTAGCTCTTTTAAGAGCTTGTTCCTGACACGCTCTCCTTGGAGGAGAGGTCTTCCCCACACAGTCCTGGATGCTTGAGGTCTTTCCCACACAGTCCTGGAGGACAGAAGCTGATCCAGGGTGGAAGGAAGACGGCGAGACTCCAGTGAAGCTACGGCGGTTGTGGAGTCTGCGGTGGTTGTGGTGTCTGCTGCAGTGTTTGGAGTCCTCAGGAAACGCTAGGAGCATCCATTAACGGTGGGTACTCGGTCGGAGTACAGGGAGCTCCGTTACAACCTAAAAAAGGGGAAAAAAGCCTGAAAATAAAACAGAAAACCACCTTTCTTTCTTCTCACCAAACCCATCAGGTAATAAATCTAACCTGGAGGAATCTATTCTCTCAAATATCCCATCAGAGAGGGCCATGAACAAAGGACAAATGGCGGAAAACCAAGAGGCAAGAGAAGGAAGAAAAAAATATGACCACCTACTTACACACTTAGATACACAATTTGGAAAATTGAGAGAAGAAATCCAAGCTAATTCTCTGGACATTAAGAAGGAACTACTGACTCTTAATCAACGATTCCAAGGGTTAAAAGAAAAACTAAATGGGCTGGAACAAAAGGAAAAAATCCACAAAGAAGAACATAAGGTGCTGGGGAAAAAAAATGGCTGACATAGAGTACAAATTGATAGCCCTAGAGGACCGGTCAAGATGGAACAATTTAAAAATCAGAGGAGTATCAGAACAAATAAATCCTACAAATATGGAGCCATACATAGAATCATTTTTTAAAAATCTGAAAGTGGAATGGGAACCCAGAACCCCTATTATGGAAAGATGCCACAGAGCGAATAAACCTAACGGCGTCCCAGAACATCTCTCAAGAGATGTACTGATCTGCTGCGCCTCTTCCAAAACTAAGACGTAAATTTTAAGAGCTATAAGAAGTTATAATTGCGCAGAGGAATATGAAACCCTGAGAATATTCCAGGATTTGTCATGGCAAACCAGACAAAAGAGGAAGACCTTTTCTGATGGCACACTACTTCTAAGACAGAACAATATTAATTACCGAATGGGGTTCCCCACAAAAATTATTATATCACATGAACGGAACACTACTCCCATTAATAGTGCAGAAGATCTAAAAAGCTGGTTAGTTAAGAACAAAACAGGAAGCAGAATGTCAGAAAAAGCAGGAAAACTAACAGATTGCAAAATCTACTAAATAATTATAATCTAAGAGATTTATATATATCACACATTTCAAAGCTCCGACCTAGATTACACATGTTATTCTAGAACATTCAATTCATACTTAAGAATTTACCTTATCCTGGGTAATGTGACCATGCTATATCTTGTTAAAAGAATAGACATATAGGATATAGCATGGTCAGACCATAGCCCAATCATGTTGGAATGCAAAGACACTTTTGATACATTCCGTAAAGAGTGGTGTGTAAAAGATGTTATACTACACACAAGTAAAAAAAAAAGTGTTGAAGAAATTAAGAATATAACAAATCTTTTCTTTTTAGAAAATAAAATCAAAGGTATACCGGATATCATGGTCTGGTGCGCTTATAAAAGTGTAGTTAGAGGCCACTTGATAAAAATGGCAGCCACTGCAAAAAAAATATGATAGATATAGATATATATTTAAATAAATAAAACGCCTTCCACACAAATAGCAAGGAAGATTGCAGAAACAGAAAAACAGATAAATATTCAGCTAATGAATAAAGCAACCAAGCAGTTAGAAGCACTACAATCCAAGTGGTATCTAAAGCTAGAAACACTAGTGACTAATAAATTTAAAAAAGAGAAACATAACCTAGTAATATTTAAAATAAAAGACAAACCTATTTAATGGCCCCAGAAAAAATAGGTAAAGTGTTTCAGAGATTTTATAAGAATTTATATAACCTACCAGAAGAAATATTTGGCAGGGAAAAAGAGATCGAGGAATTCTTCGAAAACTTACCCATGCCAAAAATCCTACCCGACCAAATAAAGACTGCCCTAGGCCCAGACGGCTTCACAAATAAATTCTAGAAACGAATGAAAGACCAACTAAAAGGGAACTTACCACCATTTTCAACTATATAATGAAAACAGGAAGCTGTCCTGGAGAGTTGTTGAGAGCAAATATTGTCCCAATCCCAAAAGCAGATAAATACTTAGAACTGATTGGCAATTATAGACCTATATCCCTAATCAACACAGATATTAAAATATTATCTAATGTCCTTGCTGATAGATTAAAAATAGTCATGCCACAATTAATTAATAATGACAAAGTAGGTCTTCAATCAACAATTTTAGAACAATAATAAACATATCAGAAGAAACAGAGATTAATAGTACCCCTCTAATGTTACTGTCAATAGATGCAGAGAAAGCGTTTGACAGGGTTGGATGGTGTTTCATGTTTGCCACTTTAAAACAATTTGAAATTACTAGATCAATATTACAAGCTGTATCCGCTCTCTACAAATCTCCATCAGCTAAAGTAACAGGGTCAGGATTCACATCACAAAACTTCAGTGTTAAAAATGGGCAGGGGTCAAGTCCTGGGGAAAAAAGTGTGGGAACTCACCCAAGATTACCCGCCCCCCCCAAAAAATAATATACACTCGTGTGTGTGTGTATTTGTGTGTATATATGTATGTGTGCACACACAGGGCCGGACTGGCCTACCGGCAAATTTCCTGGTGGGTTGTCGGCACCTGGGGCCGGGCAGACAGCTGGCTCTTCTGGCAGCTGCAGGGGGAGCTGGCAGTGCTCCCCCGCCATCGCGCAATACTTAATGAGAACCGGCCCCAGTCTCATTAAGCTGCACGCTGGGGAGCAGAGACAGTGCCGCCAGAGGAGCTCCCCCTTGCCTCTATGGCTGAGATCCTCAAGCTTAATGATCTCAGCCAATCCGCACTGACACAGGAAGCACCTCTAGTGACCGTCTGAGTGTCTGTCAGTGTTTACATTGAAAAGCCTGCAGGGACAGGCTATAGACACCAGAACCACTACATTAAGCTGTGTGCGTGCACCTGCTAGTGAGTGGGCTTGCTTGCGTGTGTGTGTGCCTGCTAGTGAGTGAGCTTTTGTTTTTGTCAATGAGCTTATGTATATCAGTGAGATTGTTTGTTTGTCTATGAGGCTGTGTATCAATGAGCTTGTGTGTGTCAGTGAGATTGTCTGTCTGTGTCTGCATGTGAGTATGCTTACTGTATAATTAAACGTTTTACTCTGAAAGGACCAATATTTTATATTAGAAAAAGCTATATATATATATATATATAACTCAATCATCTGGGGGTGGCAAGACATAGCCTTACATATTACATGCGACAATATATGGTGCAATGACTTATGCATTTTTTTTTTCTATGCTTTGTATCCCCAGTCCGACCCTGCACACACACATTCACAGACACACACACATTCACAGACACACACATTCACAGACACACACATTCACAGACACACACACATACATTCACAAATTATTATTTTTTAAATTAAAAAATGTCCACCTAGCCTCCCTACCTGGAGAGCTGGCATGGACCTGTCCCTGGGGTCCAGTGGGGCGGGCGCCTGTCTCTCGGTCAGACACGATGAGGGAGCTGTGTTCTATCCGTTCCCTATCGCCGCGCGCCGTTTGCTAATGCCGGGAGCCAGAATATGATGTGATATTCCGGCTCCCGGCATCAGTAGACTGCCGACGGCGAGAGGGAGCAGAGAGAGCACAGCTCCCTCGCCACTTCTGACTGGGAGACATGCGCCCGCCCCACTGGGGGTACATCAGGCCACCTCTTGGGGGGCCCCCCCATGACAGGGGGAACATGGGATGGCATTTGGGGGCGGAGTACCTTCAGGAACAGTGAGAACGGTGTTCCTGCTGTAAAAACAGTGCAAGAACACCGTTCCCACGCTTGCCTGCAGGATGCGAACCCTGAAAATGGGACTAGACATGGGTGCCCTCTATCCCCTTTACTGGACATAATGGTGTTAGAACACCTTGCGATTCTAATAAGATAAAATAAAAAAATCAAAGGATTTATGAACTCCTTAGGACAAAGTAAATTAAATATTTACATAAATTGCATCTTACTAACCTTAGAAGAACCAAAAAACCTCAGTTTAGATAAATAAATACTCTAAAGTGGCAGGATACAAAATGCATATAGAGAAATCCATATTCATAGCTAAAATTTTTAACAAAAGTGTAATCAATTTTCTTGTACAAAATGTTGGGATCCCAGAAAACAAGGACAGGCTAAAATATTTAGGTATACCAGTAACGTCAGATTTAAAAGATCTAGTAGAAGCCAACTTTTTACCTTTACTAACACAAACTAATAAAAACGTAAGGGACTGGAAAAGTATGGGATTTTCCTGGTCAGGTAGGATCAATATCCTAAAAGCATACATTTTACCAAAATGGATGTATCTATGGAGAATGATCCCACTTAATTTCCCAGAAAACTGGCTATCTTTACTACACTCATCCTTTTTTAAATTTGTATGAGCGACAAGAAAGCAAGAGTTAAAATGAAAGTTTTGGCTAGATCAAGGCAAGATGGAGGTTTGGGGTGCCTGGGAATTTTATCAGGCTAGCAGACTTTTTCACATATTGCTTTCAAAGAATATTGCTGCAATCCAAGAAACAAGCTAAAAGAGTCATCAGACAGGTGCTGGAAATGTTATATTAATGAGGCAATTTAATCCACAGTTTGTGGCAGTGCACACCCATAAATAAATTCTGGAAAGTTGTAATCAAGGTAATATATCAAATAACGGAAATAAAATTAGTTTTTAAGCCAGAAGTGGTTCTGCTAAACACACATATTTAACCTTGTGTGATGATGGTGATGTGCCAGATGAATGATTGTCACCATATTGCAAGCATAGTACAAGCACATCACACCTTATCACAAGCACAACACAGGCCATTATATCTTTTTACAAACACAACTTTGATAAATCACACCTTTTTGCTAGCATAACATAGGGACATCACACCATATCAGTGCTGGACTGGGGATAAAAACCAGCCCCGGAAAAAGTTTTATATCAATTTAGGACTTACATCAGCAAAGAGATTGCACTCACATGACTCGCCATAGCAATTACCACAGTGCACAGATTGTGCTCACATGACTTGCCTGTGCATCCATAACTTGCCAAACACTGAGATTGTACGCACAGGACTTGCCCCAGCACCGAGGACTTACCCTGGCATTTAGATTGCACTCACAGGCCTTGCCCGAGGACTTCAAACAGCCTCCTGCATGCACCATGCAGAAGGAAAAAGATGCCGGATATGAGATTTCCAGCGGCAATAAAGTCGATATTACATTGGCTGAGAGATTACTCTCTCACTTACGGCCGCATCTGCACCCCACCACTGCCAAATTCTTAAAGGCTACATCCCACAGCGGCCACAGAGTAGTCCGGCCCTGCACCCTATTACAAACAAGTGTCTTTACTGGTGTCACTAAATTTTTTAAAGCTAACAAATACTTTGGTTGTGACCGATGAACTCAGGCTGCCTGAGTATAGTGGGGACTGCATGTGTTGTATTGGGGTATCAAGGTGTAATGGGGACTGTGTATTGGACTGTCTCAGTGTAATGGCTACAGTTTGTGTGTGATATATTTTGCTGTCTCACTGTAATGGACTGCATGTGATTGATGTATTATATTGTTTGTGTGGGATAGGATTAGTTTGTGTGTGATGTTATTGAGCTGTGTACATGTGATGGAAACTGTGTGTTAGCACTGGGCTGGCTGTGTGTGATGAGAATGTGTGACCATTTTGTGCTGTCAATGTGTGATGGGAAATGCTTGTATTTGTGATGATTTTGGGCTGGCTGTGTATGGTGGAACTAACTGTTGTTGTCTTTGAATGACAGTAATACCCACTGATGAGTAGATAGCCTCTTGTAACTGGTCATCTGTGACCTGCATAAAAGTTGATGAATCCTAGAGCAACACAAACTAAAATTACGTGTTTCATTCTCACATAATATGCAATCCTGGGTACATACATATCATTTACTCAAAAGCTTCACTTCCTTACTTACTGTCATAGTAGTAATTCCACTGTCTAGAATGTCCACTCCACACGCTCCCTTAGTCCCTATGCCAACTGCAGTCTCAGCCCGGTAGGTAAGGTGTCAAATCTTAGGTGTAGCCGCATTATTCGCTCCACTCGCTCCCTCCCTAGTCCCTCTGCATTCCCCAGGCAGGGTAAGATGTGACTGCACTCTCCGCTCACTTCTACCCACTTCAGTTCTCGGTTTCCCTCTCTTCCATGTCTTTCCCCCTTCCATCCATCCATGTATTTCATTTTCTATCCATATCTCTCTCCCCTTCCATGTCTCTCCTCCCTTTCATTTATATCTCCCCCTTCCATCCATGTCCTCCCCCTTATTTCTCCCTTCCATCCATATTCCCCCCAGTGTCTCCCTGTGTCAGTGCCTCCATCCATGTCTCCCTCCTCCCTCCAATCCATTTTCCACTCCCCCGTTCCATCCACATCTCCACCACCTTGCCAACCTCCCCCCTTCCATCCATATCTGTCTTCCCTTGCCAACCTGCCCCTTTCATCCATATCTCCTCCCCCCTTTCATCCATATCTCTCCCCGCTTCTAAACCTCCCCCCTTTCATCCATTTCTCTCCCACCTTGCCAGCCTCCCCCTTTCATCCATATCTCTCCCCATGCCACCTCCCTTTTATCCATTTCTCTCCCACCTTGCCAACCTCCCCCTTTAATCCATTTCTCTTCCCCCCCCTTGCCAACCTTCCCCTTTCATCCATATCTCTCCCCATGCCACCTCCCTTTCATCCATTTCTTTCCCACCTTGCCAACCTCCTCCCTTTCATCCATATCTCTCCACGCTTATCAACCTCCCTCCTTTCATCCATTTCTCTCCCCCCATGCCAGGAAGATAGGTTTGCCTGTCCTGGCAGAGGAGGGGAGGGGGCGTGACACCCGGCGCTCCTACACAGACCGCGAGGGGGAGGCTGTGTACTGTGCGTGTGGTTCCATGATGGAGCCGTACACTGCCTGGGGGAGCAAAAATCACTGCTCACACTGACAATTGAGTTTTGCGCTCCACTGGCCGGCACCAGTCTTGCCAACCTCACGGTTCGCCTCTACAAGGGACCAAGGGTCATTATTCAACCCCATTCATTCAAGCCAACTTGGTGAAGAAGCTTGTTAGAGGCAAACACACACACAACTCATACAAAATGAGCTGAAAGACTTTGTCAGCCATTGTTCAACTTGCAATGAATATGTTCAAGTACAACAAAAAGAACCAATTATGTCCAATGTGCATCCTACCCATACATTTCAAATTGTAAGCATGGACTTATTGAACTGTGCAGGGAAGTCTTCTCTTCTAGATGCTAATCATTATTTGGATTTCTGGGAAATGTATCTTCTCTCTGACCTATCTGCTGACAGTGCATTCAAGCATTGCAAGGTGCAGTTGCCACGTTATGGCCAACCAGATCGTGTGATCTCAGTTTGCAAATGAGCAATTCAGACAATTTGAAGTTGATTTAGTTTCATAACATATTACCTCTTCCCCAAGTGAGCCACACGCCATTTAGAAGGCTAAATCTATTGTTTAGATAATACAAATCTGTACAAGAAAGTGATGCATGATGGAACAGACCCAAGGAAAGCAATAGTGCACTGGAGGAATATACAAACTGAAGGAATGGAAAGTAATCCAGCACAGCGCCTGGTGTCAAGACTAGGGACTTCTTTACCAGCATCCAATAAAAAAAAAAACTAATTGAACCATGTGTAGTACTTGGTGTGTTGTAGAAACTCCTTTCCAAGGAAACAAATCTCCAAATAGTGTTACTATGCAAAGTGATATTACTTTTTCAGTTCAGTGTTATGCTTTACAGCCTTGAACTTCCTATTTTTTGTTTTCCGCTTACCGTTTTAGGTATCAACATGGTCTCTAAAACTACATTTCTATATATAAAACATTAACCTAGGAGTTAGCCCCTCACAGCAAAAAAGGACAAATAGAATGCTAACATTGGCATAAATAGATCAGCCACTCCCTCATTTGTCAGAATGCTTTCCTGTCCTTCATCACAGTTTGGAAGAAGCCCGCTTTAGCAGTCATAGATTTTATTTTATGCACACCAGACCAACAGTTTTATTGGCTTCACCCTTCTAAACCCCTTCTAGTAACCGGGGGTTTAACCTACATATTTTCTTGAATAAAATGAAAATGGTTCATCTTTCCCTGAAGATCCTGTAACTCCAGATTGACAGGTTCCTTTTCTTTTACATTTTAAGCTCATTTGTATATCAAATGTTTTTTGTCAGCATTCATTTTTTTTTTTTTTCTTGGTTTATCTATTGTACAGCGCTGCAGAAAATGCTGGTGCTATAAATATTATTGTAATTATAATTGGGTAGAAAAATGTATATTAAAATTAAAAAAATCACTACTGCATACACATAAATAAATGGTGCAGTGGAATATATATTGGGATAATCCAATCTGTATTTCATTATAAGTAATATTGAAATAACTGTTAACAGGGCTTATTTTATTTTGCTTACAACTTTTTAATAGCTATTTTAGAGTGTGGTTAGAAAATATTTGCATTTTCATATACAACACAGAATTATATTTTGTACCCCTAGTTTCATTATATTTTGATTTGAGCTCAAAACATTGCAATTTTATATTTTGCAATATATCTGCAATCAAAGCTTTGAAATGCAGTAAAAGTTTAAAAGGACACTATAGGCACCCATACCACTTCAGCTCATTGAAGTGTCTGGGTGCTGTGACCCTTTTGCACTTAGTGCTGCAATGTAAACATTGCAGTTCCAGAGAACTGCAACGTTTACATTGCAGTAATAAGTCTGCCCTCTGTGGCTCTCTACCAGACAGCCACTGGGGGCAATTCCGGAATCCAAATGGACTTTTGGACCTCCAGCATCAGCTCTTCCCCATTGGAAAGCATTCAATAATGCTTTCCTATGGGTAGGTCTAACCAATTACCCACCCTAAACCTCTTCCTATATCCTTGCCTCACTTTCACCACCTTTTTTCCTTCTCTCCCTCCTTCTTCGTCGTCTTCTCCCTCCTTCCTCTCCCACTTCTCTTTTTCCCTTCCTACCTTTTATAACTTTTGCTCTTTTACTAATCAGCACAGCTGCCCTTTTCACTTTTACACTACCCTACGGACTTGCTCTGCTGCTTGCGAATAGTGTTGGCGGACTGGACGTACAAGATGGGCCTCTATAGGTGCGGGACAGTGAGCATTGATCGGAGCATCCAGTTTGCCATCTGACTAATAAGTACCAAAGGGATTGGTGGCGGTCAGATTCACAATTGAACACTTATAGCGTGGGTTTCACATAATCAGATAGTGGGGTCCCTTAAATCTACAGCTTAGCAGGAAGATGGGTCATGCTTGGTTGATTGACAGTGTTCTAAGGCCAGGCCATGGATGTATGAAACTGCTCAGGGATGAAACCCCTCTGATTTGTTTACAACGACCAGACCACATTACATTATAAGGCTTATGTACAGTGGCACTGGTGAATGCAGAAATTGAGTATCCTTCATGGATCCTCAGAGGTGCTGTTGTGTTCCTCACCCCCATTTCTTTTGAAGTGGTCTGCAGCACCAACCTTTTTAGGTACTTCCCTTCCAATGTTGGTTACATGGATTTCTGTGATCTAAGTGATAGGTTACATTTGTTTGCATTTTATACTTGCATTACAATGTTGACATGCTACTCCTTAATGCTATACTTTCGGTGTAATTCTCTCAAAATATTCAATAAAAAAGTGATTAACAAAAACAAGTGGCTATTGCAGCCATTTATCCATTTGGCAGGAATTGTGAAGTCCATTGTAAGGTCATATGACATATGTATGGAATTAAAAAATTGCAACAAAGTCATAGATGCAATTTTTATTTCTTTGGTAAGCACATGAGAGGAAAGAAAATCAAAAGTTTCCACAAGGGGGTCACTTATTGTTCCTATAGATACGCCTTTCCCTCCACCTTTACCACCTCTGGGAAAGCTTGGAAACCTGAGATGATACAGGAGGCATAAATAATTGATGGGGCAATAATATAGTGTGCTTACTAGTGGCCAAGATCTAATTTTAAATAAGTTGCCATCTTTCCTAACCTGAGACCCCCAGCATAAAACACTGTTCATGTCTCCTTTCTATTTTTAATTGTTCTTAGTGTAAATAATTTTGTCATCTGTTTTTATATGCACTGTGACTAGTTTTTTTTTCATAATAAATATTCCTTTAAGTTCTGCTTTGTCCGGTAAATATTCATATTACCCGATTAGACCAATTTATTGTGAATAATTTTTAAAGAAATGTTCTGAGGTCTAGTTACACCCCAGCACACGTGACTCCGACAGGATGTATCATTAAACAAAAATTACGTGTCAACAGCTGCATTCACTCCCAGGCTTTCCATCCAACATTCTACATTGTTTTTTTTTGCAATCTCCACTTTGTCCACTCCTCTTACCCACCTCACCACCTCCTTTCACCCATGGGGAACCAATTGACTAGTTCCCAACAGCACATTATATATAAAAATAAAAGATATAATAGGAAAGGGTTGGAAATATTTAGAATACCTAGAGCAAACTCTAAATCAGTATCCTCACTTTGAAGTCAAGGGTTTCAAGTCATTAAATTATGTACACATTCACTAAAAAGAAACAAATCCATCCATTATAATGGCAAGTCCGCCCATGAAAGGGGACGGTCTGTTCATAAAGTGGACAGAACAGCCCCTGAACTGACAGCCTCACCTCTCAAGGCAGACTATGCATTCTAAAATTTGTGGCACACCAAAATGCAGGACTTTTCCAGCAACATCAGGAATGCTGTCACCTGTCATATTCCTACTGTGAAATGGTCCTGTACCTTTATTTTGCATAAATCTTCAATTATTACCAAGTACTTTGTAGAATTTCACTCTAATTTGATATCTATAGCATAAACATGTTCTAAATATATCACCCTAGTCCCCTTTCATCTAAGTGTTACAGTAAATATACTTTAAATATATACATTATTTGTATCTGTATGTTGTTTGTGTGTTATTTTTCACTTGCCTTCAAGACGTAATTTTTTTATTTAGAATTGACTATTATAAGTCTACTTAACCCCTTAAGGACTGAGCCAAATTTACATGTTTTTATCAAAATAGAACATAAACAAAACTTGGAATTTGACTATGTCTGTTCAACCGTAATTCACCTCTTTCATATTAAAAGATCACTATAGGATCAGGAACACAAACATGTATTCCTGACCTAATAGTGTAAACACCACCATCTAGCCCTCCTGGCCCCCTCATGCCTCCATAAATATAGCAAAATCTTACTGTATTCAAGACAGAAGCTGTAACTCTGCATGCTGTTTGCCTCAAAAAAACCAAAAACAAGCAGTCTGCTGACATCATCAGAAGTGGTAACCTGATCCAATCACAATGCTTCCCCATAGGATTGGCTGAGACTGAAGGAGGCAGATCCAGCATGATTCAAACACAGCCCTGGTCAATCAGCGTCTCCTCATAGAGATGAATTGAATCAATTAATCTCTATGAGGAAAGTTCAGTGTCTGCATGCAGAGGGAGGAGATACTGAATGTTTGGATGCATTTTAGGCAGCTATGACCCAGGAAGGATCTCTACCAGCTATCTGAGGAGTGGCCACTGAAGTTATCACTAGGCTGTAATGTAGACACTGCATTTTCTCTGAAAAGACAGTGTTTACAGCAAAAAAGCCTGAAGGTAATGATTCTACTCACCAGAACAAATTCGATAAGCTGTAGTTGTTCTGGTGACTATAGTGTCCCTTTACGTGCACCCACACTTATTATATATAATTTTCTTCAGGAGAAACAGGGCTCTCATTTAACATCAAATATCTATATCTTAGCTATGAAGCATTATTTAATATGAATAAAATATAAACAAAATGTGAGAAATTAAGACATTTTGTTATTTTTCAAGTTCTGCATGACATTTTAACTGTGAATGTCATAATACTGTTAGCTTTTACTGCAATAAAATACACATATTTATATTCAGCAATGTCTCACGTGTAAAACAGTACCCCCTATGTACAGTTTTTATGGTGTTTTGGGAAGTTAGTGTCAAATATAGCATGTCACATTTTTCAGTTTTTTCACATTGAAATTTATCGATTGGTTACGTTGCCTTTGAGACCGCATGGTAGCCCAGAAATGAGAATTACCGCCACGATGGCATACCATTTGCCATGGGTAGACAACCCAAGGTGTTGCAAATGGGGTATACCCAGTCTTTTTAGTAGCCACTTAGTCACAAACACTGGCCAAAGTTAGCATTAATATTTGTTTGTGTGTGAAAAATGCAAAAACTAATTTGAGTGCCAATTTTGGCCAGTGTTTGTGACTAAGTGGCTACTAAACAAGACTAGACTTGCCACATTTGCAATACCTTGGGTTGTCTACTTTTGCAAATGGTATGCCATCATGGGGGTAATTCTCATTCCTGGGCTACCGTGCGGTCTCAAAGGCAACATAACCAATCTGGCGAATTTCAATGTGAAAAGACTGAAACACAAGCTTTATATTTGACTCTGTAACTTTTAAAAACACCATAAAACCTGGGGGTACTGTTATACTCAGGAGACTTCACTAAACACAAATATTAGTGTTTCAAAACCGTAAAACGTATCACAACAATTATATCGTCTGTGTAAGTGCCGTTTGTGTGTAAAAAATTCATAAAAAGGCATTTTTACTGATGATATTGTTTTAATACATTTTACTGTTTTGAAACACCAACATATGTTCTTCGAAGTCTCCCAAGAAAATCAGTACCCCCCCATGTACAGGTTTTAGGGTGTAATGGAAAGTTTTTATATATATGTATATATGTGTGTGTATATATATATATATATATATAATAAATAATTTTTTTAAAAGTATTATTTATATATAGGTGTGTATATATACATATTTATGTGTGTATATATATTATTTGGTTCTAAGTGTATTTTGATATTAATATCAAAATACAGTTAGAATGAAATTACACACATATATATTTTTATTATGTTTAATTTTTTTCATTTGTAACTTATTTATATATTTTATATATACATACAATTGTAATTATATATATATCATTCTACGTGTATTTTGATATTAATATATATATATATATATATATAGAAATATAATTATATATACATTAATATCAAAATACACATATATTAATATTAAAATACACATAGACACTGTATGTGTTTGTATATGATCTAAGTATATATTATTAAATTTTTTACTTTTATTTAACTTTATTACAGGCAGCAGGGGGACTTCCTGTCATTCCAGGCACTCCCCTTGCTGGCACTGCTATGGATGGCTATTCCGTCCATGTGATTGTGAGGTCCTCGCAAACGCCTGCCGGCATTTAGAGCCGGGTCCCCAAGGACACAGCACGCCCGCCGTCCTTAAGGGGTTAAATATGTACCAATTTATTCAATATTCCTATAAACAAACTGTTAATATAATCTAAAATAGTATATAGTTTACTATGAGCAAAATGTAATGTAAAATAAATTTGTTTTTCAAAGGGACACTCCATCGCTAAACAATTTTAGGTTGCAGAAAAGCTTTGTGTGAAGAATGTGTCCTCTTTTTATTATTTTGCAAAAAGTGCTGATTTCAACAGAAATGTACACTTTTATAAATCAGACTGGTTACACCCACTTGACTTTCAAGCTGACAACAGATCATATTGCTTCCTGGTTTCGTTAGCTCATTTGAGCTAAACTAAAGAGACAGACAATTGCTGAGAGCACTTGACTTTCAAACAATTCTAATTGAGTTGTATTGGGAAGTCTGTGATTGGACAGCTACAGAAAGTCTGGGCGGGTTTAGAAGGGGGAAGTTTGCAAAGGCAGCAGACAAAGAACAGCAGGTTTGGCAAGCTGTTTTTAGATTTACTCCCAACGAAAAATTGCATAGTTATATGCATGCATGTTTTCATTGGGTGTACCTCTACTAAACAGTGTTTTTTATTTGTTTTGTATTTGGGTAGTGTAATGTCCATTTAATGATACGTTCCCTCTTACGTGTTGCCTAAAAATCAAAACATTAGAAGACATGATTTTAAATACAAATGACCCAATATGAAAAATTAGATAAAGGGACTTTTGTCAATTACCATATGTATTATTATTTAAAGGGTAACTCTATTTACAGTCGCACCTATGATCTTACTTGGGTTAAAGTGCAAGGAAGTCCCATTTCACTGTGTCTCTGCCCACAATGGCATATAACTGCCGTGATTTGTAAAACTCTCTCAAGCTTTAAAACTGCCCTTACTGCCTCTTATAGAAAGGACTTTTTGCTTCCTTATTTACTGTCAAAATCCATACGACCAGTGCCTACAGTGTGTGCAAACTGTCAGGCCATTCCAGCTCTAGGCCAGAGCCTCAGAAGAACACTGTGCAAATCACATTTCACAAAATTGCTAACAAGGCTATCATAAAAGCTGAAAGCAGTATGATAGCAATATGGTTGCTATCAACTTATTGAGCAGTTCCTCTCATCTGATGAACGGAATTGTGATTGGGGCTGAACTATGTTTCTTATAAATCACTGCTCGACCAAAATCAGAATTAATTTTCCTGATAGCTGGCGCCTATCCTGATGTCAGAGTGGATTATCTGGTGCTGCAGGTTCAGTAACTTTAAGTGTGTGTATTTTTTTAATTTTGTATGTTTTTTCAAACTAAAATGCTTAAAAAAATTAGGTTGGTTAAAAAGGTGTTAACCACAATAATGTTTATTGTAGGTATCTTGTTGAATGACACTATTCACTTGAATAATGTTATAGTCATAGACCACAATTGTCAACAATAGTCTATACTTTTTTTTCTCTCTCTTTTTGAACGATTACATCATTGCAGGGATTATTCCTCATTACTACACTTTTTTTTATTTCTTTTCTTTTCCTTGCCATCTGCCTAATATTATGTAGATCCCTCTTGTGCTGCCAAATCAGCTCTACTGTGTTAATGCATGGACTCCACTAGACCTCTGATCATGTCCTATGATATCTGGCACCAGGACATTAGCAGCAGATCCTTTAAGCCCTGTAATTTGTAAGGTGGGACCTCATTGATCAGATTTGTTATTCCAGCAAATCTCACAGATTGGATTAAGATCCTAGGGAGTTTGGAAGCCAAGGCAACACTATGAAATCTTTGCCATGTCCTTTAGACCATTCCTGAACAATTGTTGTAGTGTGGAAGGGTGCATTATCCTGCTGAGAGAAGTCACTGCCACCAGGGAACATCATTGCCATGAATGGATGCATATGCTCTGTAACAATCTCTCTAGGTGGTACATCTCAAAGTACATTCACATGAATGCCAGGACTAAAGGTTTCCCAGCAGAACATTGGCCAGAGCACAACACTGCTTCTGTTAGTTTGCCTCCTACTGCCATCTCTCCATGATTCATCACAACAGCCAACCTTTTTCCATTGCTCTATGGTCCAGTTCTAAAGCTCGCATCTCCATTGAGGGTGCTATTGGCAGTAGACAGGAGTCATCATGGGCACTCTGATCGGTTAGTGGCTTTACAGTCCTATACGCAGCAAACTGTGATGCACTGTGTGTTCTGACACCTTTCTGTCATGGCCAGCATCAAGTTTTCCAGCAATTTGAGCTACGGTAGCTCTTTTGTTTGATTGGACCAGAATGGCTAGCCTTATCTCCCCATGTGCATCGATGAGCCTTGAACACGCCAAACCCTGGCGCCGGTTCACCGGTTGTCCTTCCTTGCACCAGTTCTGGTAGGTACTAACTACTGCATACCAGGAAAACCCCAGAAGACTTTGCCATTTTGGAGATGCTGTGATCCAGTCATCTAGGTATCACTATTTGGAACTTGTCAAAGTCACTCAGATCTTTTCTTTCCCATTTTCTTGCTTCAAACACATACAGTTCAATTACTGGTTGTTCACTTGCTGCCTAATGTACACTCCCCACCCATTTACATGTGCCTTTGTAATGATATCATCAATGATATTCACTTCACCTGTCAGTGGTTTTATTGTTGTGGCTGATCAGTGTATGTATGTAACTGCATTCGAAGGGTGGATGACACTCCGTTATAACAGTTGTAAGTTTTGGTTCTCTCAGGTACTTGTAGTAATACTGTGGAGCAGACAAAAAGTGATCCATGGAACCAGTGGTGTAAACATATTTATTCTAATACAAGCTGATGAAACTGACTTCTAGTTAAGGAGGTTTTCTTGAAGTAATAATTTTGTAACATCCATTCAACGGGAATTTGATTCCACTACTTTTATATGAGCCTCTATTTTGTCTGGTGTAGGATTTTACCTGATGTTTGGTATTCTCCGTGGTTAAGGCAGCTTTTCGATGTGATATCTATGCTGGAATTTTATTTTGGAGCCCCCATATAAAGGAGTTTGTAGTCTGGAGTCGTAAGTTGTACAAATGCTTTTTGTTTTATTACATCCAAATCAGGATGTAGTTTGCAGGTCCAGAACGAATCAGCTGGGAATTGCATTAAGTGCTTGTTAGATATTTTATTGAGAACCAGCTTTAGTAGATTTGTTACATAGTTACATAGTTGAAAAGAGACTTGCGTCCATCAAGTTCAGCCTTCCTCAAATATTGTCATTTTTTTGCTATATATCCCCTACAATTTTTATGTGCTTCTGGTATACATATTTTTTTTTTAGCATCTCCCACCATGATACCAAAATTGAGGGACTCAAGAATATATTGATCTATTCAACAGGGGCACTGGATAGCACATGGCATTAGGGATGACAGTGGAACACATTGTTGCATGGTTCCATTCACATAATGCTAGGGGAAAAATGCACCGTCTTGGTCACGTGACATGGAATGGTGGTGAAAATGTCATCACATTGGTTATGTGATACAGAAGTGAAGGAAAGTATTGGAGTGGAAGCAGTTGGAATTAAAAGGAGCCAATAAGAAACGTTCTCGAACAATTACGGCAATATGAATGCAGGACCAATGGGAAATGGCTGTATTGTTTGTCTGCGTGCTGATTTAGTCACTCTGTAACACGCTAATTATCTCTGAGAAACAGTTTTAAGTGTGAGTGGCCAATTATTATTCACAATACAGTGTCATACAGTCATGCACTATATTTTTTGTTTTGTAGTTTGTATTTTTTTTCTCTGTGAGATATATATTGTTATTGAGACTGAAAGAGCATCTTTATTTAGACATTTTTTGTGTGAAGATTTACATATTATTTGTGCTCACTAACATATTAATCTAAGAAGTGATTACTGTAGTGAAATACAGATTCATACAGTATGTTGGGATTTCGGGTTGGACATAGGGCATTGTACGGGGTAAGATTTAAGGAGGTTTTTGGCTGAAACACCTTTACTTTTTGCCATCTAACAAAACTCCTGAAGGTAATGTGTGGGTGAAATATGGGCTTTTTAAAGGAATCAGCGCTTATTCAATGACAGGGTGTTTGAGTTGGCACAAGTTGTAGTCGTGCTTTGCCTTATGTATCCATACTATGGTGGAGCAAGAGAGTGGGTCGTATTGGTAGAAGACTAAAATATCCTGTTAATCCTCTCATGAGTTATTCACTTAAACTATCTCACACACCAATCTGCTATAATCATTTGCTTTGTGTAGAAATCATGTTTCACAAGTGGTAAGAAAGCACCTCTAATGTACTCTATTTGTGAATGTTGCTTGCCATGCTGCCAAAGCAATTAGCCCACTCTCTTCTCATCTTCTTGCAAATACACATGAAAAATGTTGTGCACTGCAGAGAAGCTTGGTGCTCATATCTTGCCAAGAGAATTTGGGACCTCTGGGAGTATAGGAATCTTTAGTCACCCAACAGCCTAGGGATTAAGTCCTGTATTATGACAAAATAACTCATTATCCACCTAGCAGCCTAAAAGTTAAATGCATTACTTGTATATTGGCCGAATGAGTATGAATGTGTGGCAGAGTATCATGGCTCCACATGTCTTCTTCCTCTGTATAAAAATTGTCTTTGTTAGCTGTCCATTGTGTTGAAACCTGGAGAAAAAGAATTTGGCAATTTGCCTTTGTAGCCGAGGTTCACCCCTCCAGAGTAGCCACATAGGCATGACAGTCTCATTTTCATCCCTTGTCAGGTCTCAGATCTTTGTGTATATAACACAACTACTTTCCTCAGTATAGGGTATTTTTATTTCTTTACAGCACTAAGCCTTGTTTGGGGAAACCTACTGACAACTTCATCAAGTTGTTTGCAGAAAGTTGTGGGAGATAACTATATTCATTTGAGCAAGCTATATTCAAGTAGTAAAATCATCTGGGAAGCAGCCTGCTACTCAAGAGGAAACGGGTTATTAAAATGACTTCTTGGAGGTCCCTGATGGCAAGAATGTTTGTGGTGTGTCCAATTTAGGAAACCAAGGTGGGAACAAGGCACCCTGTTCTTAACACAGGTGTCTCAATATCATTGTTGCCAAACTAGCTAGACACTTTAGTGAAGTCATCATATGGCACAATGAACTCAATATAGAAAATAGAAATATGTTGTGCAAGGATGGTTTAAACTTGTTAGTTTAATCTTGGTTCAGTATTGCAAGAAATTATCCAAATGGCATTAACTCTGGAAATGCTGCAGGAGGGAAATGTGAATATCGGGCTTGGGGTGCCTCTTTTGGGTCCTTTATAGCTTGCAAGAAGACATCATGGATAGAGAGGCTTCTTCTATCTTGCAAATTATGAAATATCTGGTGCATATTGATGCATGACCATGTAGAGCAACTCTATTGGTTGACATATAAACAAATCAACATATTTATTGATCTTCCTGAATGTTTTAATTAAAATGTGCATGTTGATCCTCCAAGTATTATCAATTTAATGAAAGGTAAGGCAGTAGTGAAAAGCAAGGGTTGCCCAGCAAAATGACCCCATAACTGCATACCCTTAAATCATCATTGCTAGTAAACTAGAATACACAGTGGTAATTGCCATGGTACTTTATATTTTCCAGTAGTGCTCTGGTGCTATAAAACACTTAAGTACAATCTGGCAATTGGGTGTCTAGGAATGAGCAAGTGACTGTGGGGTAGTAAGGTGTATGTAATCTATATAGATAACTTGCTGTTTTAAACCAATTTCTGATGTCTAATGCAATTGAAAGCATGTGATATCTTTTCATTTTAATTGTTCTTCTCCTTGAGTTCAAGACAGAGCAAACAAGACATAACAATAATACGTGCAGTTTGGGGTACTGTGTCCTTTACTGTAAGGAAAATATTATTATTTTATTCTGCTAAATGTTTGATAGCAATTAGAGGGACACTATAGGGACCAAAACAACTTTAGGTAAATAATTCACTTTTGGTGTATAGGTCATGCTCCTCCATTGTCAAGCTCAATTCTTTGCCATTTAGGACCTAAAGTGATTTAGCTCCTAAATGGTAAAGAATTTAGCAGTGTTTAAACCTCCTTGCATGTGACTTGCACAGCCTTTCTTATCACTTCCTGTAAAGAGAGTTCTCATGTTTACACTTCTTTTATTGCATATACTATTTAATTTAAAATTTCTTATATCCTGCTTTGTTAATAAGCTTCTAGACCCTGCAGTAGACTTTTGCATGTGATTAAAGTACAATTTACATAGAGCAGATGATAAAAACGTCTAAACCAAGTAAACATCTGAGTGAAAATTAAACCATTCTTTCATGTAGGATGTCACAGCCAGGGAAGCTAACATAAACAGAAATAAGTAATTTAACTATTAAATGGCAGAGAAATGAGCAGTGAGACTGCAGGGGCATGATCTATACACTAACACTGCTTATTTAAACTAACGTTATTTTGATGCCTATGGCATCCCTTTAAATTAAGTACCAAATCAAAGCTAAATATATATTCTTACTAGACTTGTGCAAGGCAAAATAGAAAATGTTTTGGGACATTCAGTGCAAAGTCGTTTTGGCTCGGTAGAATTTCGTGACCAAGATTCCGATTTGGAAACAAAATAAGAACAAAAAGATATGAAAAAGGGCCAATAGGTTTAATGCAAAATATACACATAATATAGTATGGTTCACAGATAAAGTGAGAAACAATGTACCTGATAGAAAAAGAGGAGGAGCAGAAAAAATAAAATAAACCTACATTAATATATTTATATATTAATTACATATAAAATATATAAATTTAGATTTTTTTTTACTGCTACTACTTTTTTTATTTCTATTGCTCACTTGATTTAATAAGCTTTCTAAATTCAATGCTGTTATAAGAGTTTAAAAGTTTTATGTATCTACACAAATCACCATTACACCTTGTCTATGAAGATTTTTGTAGTTTAATCAATTGGAAATGTTACAGTATTGAATAATTTAGAGTGCTTATTAAATCAAGGCCTTGATCTGTGAATACAATCAATATTTAGTGACTGTTTCGTAGCCACCATTCATCTTTTTTTCCCATCAATAATCATAATTTTTTTTTTTTGTGCCAAAGGCAGAATTTAGAAACACAACATGGCTTAACATTAGTGATGTCCTGAACGGTTCGCCACGGACGGCGAACATATGTTCGGTCCGCCCCCTATTCGTCATCATTGAGTAAACTTTGACCCTGTACCTCAGTCAGACACATTCCAGCCAATCAGCAGCAAACCCTCCCAGACCCTCCCACCTCCTGGACGGCTCCCTAAGAATGCAGCTTCACAATGAATGTAAAATGGATGCTGTCCAGGAGGTGGGGGGGTCTGGGAGGGAGGGTCTGCTGCTGATTGGCTGGAATGTGTATGCTGACTGTGAGGTACAGGGTCTACTCAAGTTTACTCAATGATGACATAGGGGGCGGACCGAACAGCGCATATATTCGCCGTCCACGGCGAACCATTCGGGACATCACTACTTAACATAAAACTTTTGAATTAAGAAAAAAATAAGTTTTCACTAACTGTTTTCAATAAAAATTTTTTAGACATCAGTAAATACTGGTCACAAACAGAATATTCTGTTTTAAGTTGTCTACAAATTACACCTTTTACTCAGCTACATATTCAGGAGTTTCAAAAAATTTAAAGGGAAGCTCTAAGCAGTTATATGTCCCCATTAGCAATATAATATAGACAAATTTAGACAATTATTTAATATATATATTTATATATATATATATATTAATATAATATAATATTGTTGTTCAAATTTGGATATTGTTTCTGACTGAGAGAGTCAGCTGACATAATATTGTTAAAGACACTCTGTAGACATCCAGACAACTTCATCTCAAAAAGGTTGTGTGCATACCATAAACCTATATTTTTAACCCTGCAAATGAAAACATTGCCGTTTAGTAGATACGTTTACATTACAGGGTTAACATGTCTCTCGTGGCTGTCTTCCTGATAGCCACTAGAATAGCTTCCGCTCAATAGCCAAGTTTAACTTTTTATTGCATTTAATGTGGGAACATTGAATTGGCTAAGATCATCAAGATAAAGAAGTGGAGCAGCATTTTAAGAACTGGCACGGCGAGGGTATAAAGGTAAGTAAATCACACCTTCCAAACCTCACATGGTGGGACACACACAAGAATAAGTAGATCAAAACATAGTGTTAGGAATATGGTTGTATAAAATACAAATACAATAAAATACATACAAATTAAAAAAAAACCCAGAATGAAATATAATTAAAATAGAACAAATAGCCCTATGCATTTCGTCCAACTAATTCCTCTTCAGGGAATTGAGATTAAATTGCTGCCAAAATACGATATAATGCATTACATGCCCTCTTTTAAATCTCCCAGGCTCCTCCAGCGGAAGGTGTGCCGAAATAGAGATTAGGAATACATTGTTAGGAGACTTACACATGAAGGCAAACCAGTGGATAGGCTAACGGCTGCCCACGGGAGGAGCCTCGAATATATAAAAGACAGCTAAGACATGTAGTATATTACATCATATTTAAGCAGAATTCTCTCTAAGAGGTCAAAACAAATGGACAAAACCAGTAGGGCTATTTGCACTATTTTAATTATATTTCATTCAGGTTTTTTGTTTCTATTGGTATGGTGATTTTTACCTGGTCAATACCTGGAGAATTAAAGTGTAGAGATCCCTGTCCCAAGTTGGGATGGTAATATACACATACTAATTTATATTTTGTAAGTGTATTTGTATCAAATTGCTGATTTTAGTAGAAGATTTGCACTGTGTCTGCTTTCTGTCAGGATTACTGTTGATCCAGCACGCAGAAATAGTATCACATCTATCACTAAGGAAAACATCTAACCGAAACTTAGAATGGCCGTCTCTAGGAAAGCCACACACGCTGGGGACCGGGGTGGAAGGAGGTCGGGTAGCGGTTTGCCGCGAGCAAGGTGCGTGATCGCTGTGTTTCTGTGCTGCCACGCTGACAGAATCTCGCAGAACTATTACACTTTCCTTTTTATCCCTATATATCCATATGAATTGAGAGACACTGAAGAAAACTCATACCGATTATTGGGTGATATATCTGCCATCAAATTCTCATTTGTGAGTACAATCATTAAAAAAATATTATAAAGGTGTCTATGCAATATTACCCTATGTTTGGTCTTATGGTTTTGGTTGTAGATATGTTTCTGTATGTTTTTGGATGAGTCTGTTTGAATATCTACAATATTGTGTGTAGAGGATAAATATTTAGCTATATCCTTCCACACGAACGTACTTATTCATTTTCTACTGGTATAAGGTTGATTACTTTTAAATAAATACTCTAAGCAGCATGACCATAGCCTGCTGAAATGGCTATGGTACCAACATACTCATGGTTCTCTCACCCTGTTTGGTGTCAAACCATTTTAGAGCAGTTTGAAACAAATCAGTGGTCCTTTGTGTGCCCATGTATCAGCCACTCACTCTGCAAATTGCTATTGCAGAAGTTACATTTCCTCATTATAGGACCATTCTAGCATTAGCAATACAACCATATTCCTAACACCATGGTTTGATCTACTTATTCTGGTGTCCGCTGCCATGGGAGAGTTTGGAAGGTGAGATTTACTTACCTTTAAGCCCTTGCCATGCCAGTCTCCAAAATTCTGCTCTGCCTCATTAATGGAGATCAAACCCCATGCTCATCATTGGTTGATATACCTGCAATCAAATTCACATTTGTGAGTGCAACCATTTAAAAAGATTATAAAGGTGTCTATGCAATATTCGCCTATGTTTGGTTTTATGGTTTTGGTTTGCAGATATTTCTGTGCTTAGATTGTATCTGTAATCTAGATGCAGTTAAAGGAACACTCCAACTGAGATGAAGTTGTTACAGGGCAGAAGTGTCTGGATGTTGACTTACCGTTAATGGTTAAACCTTTTCAAATGGTTTAACCTCAAAGTTTGTCTCCTAGTGCCCATCAGCACAGCCTCACTATGAGCTCCTCCAGCCACTGTACAGTCCAGACAGGTATGCGTTTGCATATGGGGATATGCCGAGAGCATCAGCTAACTCTTAGACTATAACTGTCCACCCGTCCATTGAGAGTAACAGTTTCTACTACCAGATGCTAAAGCAAAACTTCCTCAAGTGTATGGTGGAAGAGACAAAAGACACCCGTGTGTCTGTGTGATCAACCTTTGGGGCTAAACCATTATTGAATGATGAGAAACTGCCCACTGACTCCAACCCCCATTTGTTAACATTAAGTTGTTTTGGAGCTGCAGTCATCTGGTTTCTTTAACAGTTCATACTGCACACCATATATATAGATCTATTGACTAGACAAGGATAAAAAAAAAAAAAATGAAAAAAATAAATAAAAATAAAAGGGTTTCATTTACGTTTTTAGGATCATTTCTTCTTTGTGATATCACCACACAATTTTCCAGCACATCATGTGTGAAGAATTGTTTGTTGAAAAAGACTTAAATCAATATAAATAAGGTGGCAGAACTGCATCAACCAGTTACATCAGTTACATGATGGAGAAAATACTGCCGATCAAGACATATACCTCAGTCCTATCAAACACATATAGAATCTTCTTTTGCACATCACCATATCTACGAAAGTGTAATGAATGTAAACCTACCGATATACAGTGAAATCAAACATTATACTGGATGCCAATGAATAAAAAAAGCTATAATTGTATTTAAGTTTATCTGGGTATCATGACATATATATATATATATTACATGAAAATCCTCGGCAACCTTTAAATAGGTAGTTTAAATCAGTTACGCTAAGAAACCCAGTAAGATGAGATTTTTAAGCCAACTACCAAAGAGCATACCTTCATTGTGGACTATGCACAATTATATATTCTTTGCACTTAGAACTTCATTTGCTAAAAGCCAATGCTTACAGGTGTGATCATGGTCTGTCCGACGACAGATCCTGTTGTTTCTGTTGTCTGGTCTCCAAGGGGTGAAGAATACACTTTGCTTGCTAGCACTGGATGTAGCACTGGGAAGTCCTGGGCAACCCTTGGAGAAGTTGGAACTTCAGTCTGCTGTGGAAATTGCATTTGGTATCCTGGCATATTCATATGTGGCACTTGCTGAGCAAATCCAATGGGTGGTGCAGGTTCTTGCGGAGCAAGGGGCTGTGAGAAGCCACCACCCATTGTAGAAAAATTTTGACCTGGCACATTCTGAATAAACATCCCATTTGTATGTGCAGGTCCATGATATAAGTGGGTTCCCTGGGCAGAACATCCATCTTTAACTGGGCTTTGAGGCTGAGAGAAACTTGTTGGATATACTAGAGGAGGCTGAATATGTCCAGACATTGGTTGAGAAAAGATGGGTCCTCCAGGTGAGATTCCTTGAGGCTGTGAAGTGGCAGGAGATGCCACTGGTAGCAAAGTCTGTGCCATACTCATTGCCAAAGATAAGACATTAGCCAAGGAAAACATTGGGGCTGTGGTAGACCACTGGGTTCCTGTTTGAGTGTTGGATGCTAGAGCTGGCATTGGATTGTTCATATTCTGTGGCACCATCCCACTGTTTAGCATGTGCTGCAAAGTATTCTGATGAGAGATGGCATTCCCCATTACAATGGGAAACATAGAATTTGCTGTTGAAGATGAAGGCATCATGTGTTGAGGCAGTGATGAGAGGTAGTTTGCAACCTGCAAGGAGCTAAAAGCAGCTGGTGGATAGGATTGAGAAGTTGGCATGGAATAGTTGTTTGAGAAAGGCAGAGCTGGACTGGAAGGGTTTTCAAAAGAAGGCCAAGTTCTACTTCCTGCCAATGGAGAACCTGAACAAGAAACAGAAACAGTTTAGAAAGATATCAGTCATAAAGTCTATACATTAAGATACAAAATTGATGAAAACATTCCAAGATACTGATGAATTTACTACTATTGAGTGAAACTTAACAACATGCATATGGTGTCATGCAGGGTCTCATGGACAAGTTATTTTAAATTGTTTGAAAGGAGTTATTAGAAAATGTATTTTCAGATGTGATATAAACTGCTTAATTTAAGGAATTAAAGAAAGATTGGTTAATGATTAAAGAGGATGTTTTTTTTAATTTTAATTGTAAGTATGTGTAGTAATTGTGACACTTTTCATGCATTTTACCGCCAATCTATGCCAAATAAAAAAAATAAAAAATTGGTGGGTTTTTTTTTTGACACACATAGCAATTTAAGAATACATGTACGGAGAACTTTAAGGGCTATCGCCAAAGAACACCCCAATATGTGTTCAACAACATCTCCTGAGTATAGTGATAAACCCCATTTATAGGTGTCAGGTTCTTTGGGGGCTAAAAGACCTTATTTGGAGGGTGCGCATTCCAGTTTTCCAACTTGGGATTTTCACAGCTGGTCATCATGCACCATGTCCTATTTGGGACATTTTTGCAGCCGGACAATGTAATTTACCCTCATCAAACCATATATTTTTGAAAAGTAGACACCCTTGGGTATTTCAAATGGTGGTATTTTAACAATTCCCATGCACTAATTCTGCCACCAGTTTTGTCAAACTTTTGGGTAGTCATTTTTTTGTTATTTTTCTCTCACGTTGTACTTTATTATTTTTTCACATTTTTCTTTCTTTTATTTTGTGAATATCAAAAAAAACATACATAGTATAAAAATGACAAGACAATAAACATAAAGTACAATTATACAATACAATCCTATGTGGGTGATGGCATGTGGATTTCATTTTATTTCTTAATTTCTATTTGCTTGGGAGCTTAATATAATAAATAGTTGTATTTCGGGGATACATTTCTTATGAATTATTTCTTATTCTTGCACTATTATTTTATCAAGTCACCCCTGTGCTTCCCAGTATTTAGAGGTGTCCTCTGCTATATCTTTTTTTTTTTTTTTTCTTGTGTTAACCCTCTTTCCATTTGTAATTGAAATATTATTTGGTCTTTTAATGAGTGCCACGTAGGGACTTCTTGGGTTTTCCATCTTTGAGCAATTAAGATTTTTGCTGCTAATACAAGTAAAGCCAAGTATTTTTGCAATTTATTTAAGTTAGGTCAATTTAAATGCAATAGGTACGATTCTTGTGTGTTTCTGATTATCCTAATCTTAAGATTTTCTAAAATTTAAGTGACCAAATCCCAGTATTTATCCAACCTGGGACAGGTCCCAGACATGGGTATAGACATGGGAATCAGTCTCTGATTTACATCTGCAGTAGGAGGTTGGACAGTTCTCATACATCTTATGTAGTTTTTCTGGCACTAAGTGCCATCTATGCATGATTTTATACTGTATTTCTAACAGATTCAAGCAATGTATGGATTTTTTAAGATATGGCATAGTATTAAACCGGTTGCTTATATCTATTTCATGTCCAAGCTCTCTCTTCCAGCTAATGAGAGCTTTAGATTTTATTAAATAATCATCGAGTAACTCCAGTAGGTCTTTTAAAATAATTTTTCTAATCGTTATTTCTCCTGCTAATAAGTGGCTAATTTTTTTATTTTTTTTTATTTTTTTATATTAATAGTGTTCTTGCTTTCTTTTAGTAAAAACCTCTTATTCTTAAATAGGTAAAAAATTCCCTATTTGGAAGAGAGAACTTGAGCCTAAAATCTTTAAGTTTACCATCTTTCCATAGTTGCTTATATAAACAAAGGCCATTTTGGTTCCTTCGTTTAATATCTAAATCTGAGATATTGTCTTCTAAAAAGTCTATCAGGGTATCAGGAAGAACAAATCATTGGATATCCAGCTTTTTTTCCATTTCCTCCAAAAACCAAGTAGACTATAGATTATTACTTAGATTGTTTTTATAAACATTAAGTTCTTTTTTTATTCAAAGCTGAAGATAATAGAAGGGATAGGTCTTTCTTTCCTAATACCAAGACTTCACATTTATACCATATTTCATGTTTTTCCTCCACTTTAAGCCATTTAAGCAGATGCCACATCATTGCTGCATCATGGTAAATATTATGTCATAAATATTTATGTCTGGGGAAACCCAGTCCTCCTTTATTTATATCCCTATTCAAAACTTTCAAGCTTATTCGAGGTTTCTTTTCTCCCCATATATATTTTACTACGATTTTTTGTATCTCATTTAGATAAGATCGTGGTAAGGATAAAGGAACTAATCTAAATAAGTATATCCATTTCGGAAGGATGTAACTCTTCACTACATTCAATCTGCCCCACTAGGAAACCTCTAGGTTACTCTAGGTTTGTAACATTATAGAAGTTTGAGATAATATCGCTTTAAATTTTTTTTCTATAAGTTTCTCTGGGTCTGTTGTAATTTTTATACCTAGATAATTTTTCTTCTTGAACCCATGAAAATGATAGTTAGATTTTAGAGAGTATGTTTCTTTGAGTGTCAAATTAGGTAAAATGGTGCAGCTTTTATTTATATTTAATCTATAATTTTATACTTGCCTATATCATTCAACCTCTTCTAATGGAAACCTCAGTGAAATTATAGGGTCTGTTAAAGTGGCTAATACATCGTCCGAATATAGACACATTTTTCCTTCTCCTGTGTCCTTAAGGCATCCTTTTATATCTTTCTGTTGTCTAATTGCTTGGGCAAATGGCTCTAATGAGAAGACATATAATAAGGGAGATGAAGGACACCCTTAACAGGTGCCATTCCTGATCTAAAACCATGGGGATGATATACCTGCCCCAACAATTTTTGCAGATGGAGACACATACAATGCTTTTATCAAATCTTAAATTCTTCCACAGCAACCAAACTTTTTAAAAGTATCTATCATGAACACCCAGTTGACTCTATCAAATGCTTTCTCTGCATCTAGAAACAGGGCCAACATCGGGGTTCTCTGTCGTTTTGTTATATCCAATATCTGAATAAGTTGCCATATGTTACTATTGGATGACCTTCCTGCTACAAAACGTCTTTGTTTATCAAGTCTGGGATTATTTATTTTTATTTTGCTAATATAGAGGCATTTAATTTTGAATCAGTATTTATTTTTTTATTTCATTATTTTTTTATTATGTATGCATATCAGTATTTAAAAGCGGAATTGGCCGGTAACTACCAATCTGTGTAGGGTCCTTATCTGCTTTTAAAATGGGGATTATATTTGCACTCAGACTAGGGAAATCCTGATCTGGTCCAATTGAATTGAATATCTGTGCCAATTTATAATTCACTTTATCTTTTAATATTTTAAATATTACGTTTGTAAACCCATCCGGGCCCAGGGCAATATTGTTTTTTTAATTCATCTATAGCTCTTCTTATTTCTGCTACCAAAAATGGTTGGTTTAAAGAATACAACTGGACCTTAGAGACAGTGGGAAGTTTGATATTCTATAAGTATTTTTTCGAAGTTAATGGAATATTATAGAGCTTACTACAATAACAGCAAATTCAGCGCCAATATCTTGTGGTTTTAAATTATATATATTATTTTATTTTATAGATTCTTCTCGTTGCTTTTTTTTTAAATTTACTAGTGAGGAGTTTGTCTGCTTTATTATTTTTATAGTACCAAGTTTGATTTAGTCTTTTAAAATTCTCTTTAATTTTTTTTTCCTGGTAAAAATGTATCTTATTTTTGATTTCTACTAACTTCTTGGTTGTTAAAGCTGATGGAACTTGTTTATTTGTTCTTGACAATTGTTCAAATTCTAATAATAACTCTGGGAACAGAAGTTCACCTTCTCTTCTATCTCTAGACCCCAGCATTATTAAGTGGACTTTTGTATGCACACTAAATATTTACTGGCTGAATTTCATCAGAATCATGTTCTTTAAAAAAAATTCGGTAATTTCCCTTAGATATGTAACATTTGAATCTCTTACTAATATAGAATTATTTAATCTCCAATCCATACCTGGGGTTCTATTCTTTTTCTCATCAGATATCATAATAACAACATTATGATCGGACCATGTTATATCCAATATATATATACATATCTGCTCTATCTCTCTCATAAAATGAGCTTCGCCTAGGAACATGCCATATCTAGACTATGAGAAATAAATCTGGGAAAAATATGTGTATTCATTCTGGCAAAAGGCTCTCCAAAAGTCAGGACTTGATGGAATTCATTAGTCTGGCTGACTATTTCCCTGGAGCATCTAGCATCATTGGGAAGCCTTTTGTCCGCATCTACATCTAATATCATGTTGAAATCTCCTGCCATTATCAGTTTACCTTGTTTTACTGTCTCTAATCTATTTAACATTTTCATTAGAAAATTTTGTGAGGATTTAATTGGGGCATACAAATTTACAATAGTTTATAATTTTCCATTAAGCCGACATACAAGAATAATAAATCTCGCTTCTTGGTCTATGTCTATCATTATTTCTTCATAATTCAGTTTTTCCGAAATCAAAACTACCGGTCCGCTTTTTTTTTTGAGATAGAGAAGATTCCACTGCCGTTAAATATCCCTTAATACTAGTTTTTTAAAATATTACTTTGGACCAGTGAGATTCTTGAATTAATCCAATGTGCTCTTTATTTAAAATTTTAGACAAGATAGTTCTTTTAAAAATAGTCTTTAACCCCCGAACATTTAGTGTTATCCATTTGACCATATTTGATTGTCAGTCGGTATAGTTGCAAGCTCCCTTTCTATTCCACATGATTCTTCCCATTACAATAAACACAATATAACATATAATATAAATGTGAGAAAGAAACACGCTGTCAACATGAACCCCCCCTATGACAAACAACAAAAAACATATATAGCACATAGGGGCAGAAAAAAAACCTTCTAGTACTCATGCTTCTCTATTGTACATCAACGTTAAAGCGCTGTATATG